CAAGTGACTCAAGTGTACTACGCATCATACCCTAGCCTGAAACGGGATCGTGTTCAATGGTGGGTTGTATTTAAAACACAAGCAAGGTCGGTGGTTGATGCTTCGGTGGACTTAGAGTTTTGCAGGCACCTTCCCCATAAGTACATGCAACGCTTTGTCCACCAAATGACATTCCAGACTATGACCTTGATGATGATGATGATGATGATGATGATGATGATGACGATGGCTTTGTTATCTCAAGCGATGAAGATGAAGAATCTAGCATTGACTTTAGTGATAGTGACGAGGATGAGGACAACGATGTATTTTTAGATGACTCTAGTGATAGTGATAGTGATAATAGTGATGAGAGTAATGAATAGGAGAATATGTAGTTACTCCATTAAGAATTTTCTTGTTATTGTAAAAATTAATGACGAAAGAGGTCATGTAATGTTTCATTACTTTTTCTGTTATATTTAATTTCATCGCAATATACTTCTAATTTATGAAATTACAATGTCATGTCATGTTACTAACAACTTTTTCAGGTGGTCATGGTGGGAGGGAAAAAAGGAGAAACGTCGAGGAAGAGAAAGGCAAAGGGGAAATCTCATGTTGCGTACGACGATGACGACGACTCAATGGAGGAAGTGGAGGCACATGATTTGGCGGCGTCTCAGGAAATCACCACCCAGAGACAGATTCAGACATAGCTACAGGGCAACAATATTAGGAGCAACAGCTTCAGGGGCAACAGGAACCACAACCTAATGATTTGCAGTAATTATACCCAACTACGCTTTGGTACGTATGTAGATGTAATGAAATAGCCTTACATTATTAATTTCCATACAATAAACTTTCTATTACTTCTAACATGTTCTATTCACTTTTTCTTGATGATCAACTAACATGGTTGTTTCACTTTTATTATAGGTTTGATGATAAAGAGGTGAAGAGTGCGATCTCCGAAATGCTAACATGCTACTATCGAGAGCCTTGGAGGAATCACGAAGAGGTTGATCCAACATATAAGAAGCGGTCGGCACAAAACAAGAAGAACAGAAGAGGCGGATCCATGGAAAAAGAGGTTGAATTTCAGCTATACAACATGCAAAAAGGATGGTAAGCTTCCTAAAATGTGTCTAGTAAAAATGAAGTCATTTGTGTATCACGAAACAAGTGTGGTTTGCATGTTTTCATATATATATTTTTGCATCTACTTTTAAAGGCGGCGAAGAATCAAGGCCAGATTCCAATTGCTCCTGACCTTTTCTTAAAGACACACTTTAAGGAAGTGCCTGGGAAAGGCTCAGTACCTTCCACCACCAAAGCCAAGAATATTTCGGTAACAACTTCATTATATCATAGTCCCTAACACTAATTGATTGATTTCATGGCAAATTAGCAAAGTATAACTCAATATAGGCTTATTTGAATGAATTCGGATGAATATGCTTCCTATAATGTGTTTAGTTCTGATTTAATGTGATTTGAAACCATAGAAACTATGTAATATTGACATGTTACGAGAAAGAATGAGCTCATTTGATTAAACATGTAGAAAATGGGCAAAGTAGAAGCCATATAGGCCAAAATTGGTTGAATTTGGATGAATATGCTTCCTAAAATGTGTTAAGGGCTCATTTGATGTGATTTCAAGCCATAGCCACCTAAAACTATGTATTATTGACATGTTAGGAGAAAGAATGAGTTTGTTTTATTAAAAATGTAGAAAATGGGCAAAGTAGAAGCCATATGAGCCAAAATTGAATGAATTTGGATGAAAATGCTTCCTATAATGTGTTAAGTGCTCATTTGACGCGATTCCAAGCCATAGTCACCTAGAACTATGTAATATTGACATGTTAGGAGAAATAATGAGCATATTTGATTAAAATGTAGAAATTGGGCAAAGTAGAAGCCATATAGGCCAAAATTGGCTGAATTTTAATGAATATGCTTTTTAAAATGTGTTAAGTGCTCATTTGATGTGATTTAAAGCCATAGAAACTTAAAACTATTTATTATTGACATGTTAGGAGAAAGAATGAGTTCGTTTGATTAAAAATGTAGAAAATGGGCAAAGTAGAATTCATATAGGCCTTATTGGGTGGAATTTGGATGAATAAGCTTCCTAAAATTTGTTAAGTGCTCATTTTGATGTGATTTCAAGCCATAGACACCTAAAACTATGTAATTTTGACATGTTAGGAGAAATAATGAGCTCATTTGATTAAAAATGTAGAAATTGGGCAAAGTAGAAGCCATAAAGGCTAAAATTGGTTGAATTTTGATGAAAATGCTTCCTAAAATGTGTTAAGTGCTCATTTGATGTGATTTCAAGCCATAGCTACCTAAAATTATGTAATATTGACATTTTAGGAGAAAGAATGAGCTGATTTGATTAAAAATGTAGAAATTGGGCAAAGTAGAAGCCATAAAGGCCAAAATTGGTTGAATTTGGATGAACATGCTTCCTAAAATGTGTTAAGTGCTCATTTGATGTAATTCAAGCCATAGACACCTAAAACTATGTAATACTGACAAGTTAAGAGAAACAATGAGCTCATTTGATTAAAAATATAGAAATTGGGCAAAGTAGAAAACATTGTTGGCTAAATTTGCTTGAATGTTCAAGAATAAGAACCCCTACCTTACGTTGTTGGTAGTTTTTTATAACATTTTTTTTATATCATGTATATTTTGTAGGAGACCTACCAGAAGAAGGTCGAAGAAGCAAGGAGTCAAGGCATTCGGAAGAGTCTGAGTGAGTTGTACTGGGAGGCGGTGGGTGGGCGCAATAAGAAGGGTCGTGTGTAGGGACTTGGCCAAAGTGCAGAGCTATACTATGGCAACTGGATAGGTCGAGTTTCCAGTTCTTCATAGAAATACACGCCTTCCAAGATCAGATGGAAGCTGGGGTGCAATTCAAGCTCTACAAACTCAAATGGAAGTCGAGATGCAAAGCCAAATTGAAGCCAAAATGGCTAAAATGGAGAGGAGATACAAGGAGAGTATGGATGAGATGATGAGTCGTTTCACCAACAATGACACATGTTCCCCCATTCGTCCTCAACATCGAGGCCCTAGGGACGACCCGGGTAATAGCGAAGCAGGCCAGGGTACCCCAGCGACTGTTTAACATAGCTTTACTCTAGCATAACTTTTGTTTAGTATGGACATTTAATTAGTTCGGATTATCTTTTGTACTAGTACATAATATATATATATATATATATATATATATATATATATATATATATATATATACACTAAAATATAATTTCGTAGGTCGATAATGGATTTCTATTAAACATAAAATAGTTGCAGGTGTTCAGGTTTTAAATGATTTTATTCAAACAAAAATCGAAATATGAAATTGCGGTTCTGAAAAAAATACGCCGGATTTTTACATTTTACCAACGGAAAAATTCCGTCAAAATTGCACACTCTTCCGACGGAAATTTAACCCGTTGCAATTAACCAACGGAAAGGGTACGTCCCTCGCAATTTTACGACGGAAAAAACATCCGTCGGAATTTACACTATTTCCGACGGAAAATTCTGTCGGAAAACATATTACACGCGACGGAAAAGTCCGTCGGAAAGGTTTGGTTCCGACGAGATGAATTCCGTCGAAAAGGTTTAATTCTGACGAAATTCAATCCGTCGGAAATTGGCGATGGATTTCTAGTTTGGGTCAAACCTGATTTCGACATAAAAATATCCGTCAGAAAATCCGTCGGATTTCTATGTTCCGACGGAATTTTCATTAGAAAATGCCAACTTTCCTATAAAAGGTTTTCCGACGAAGGCTTCCGACGGAAATTCCGTCAAATCGTAGAATTCCGACGGATTTTTTCCGTCGAAAAATAGTTGTTTTCTTATAGTGTTTCATGCATAACTTCTCATCTCTGCTCCCCATCCTCTCTTCCTTTCTAATGGTTGTTTTTTATCGGAAAATTGAAGGCCGATTCTCAGAGTGTTAGATAATCTCAAACTCCTTGAATTGGAGTGTTTACCATTGATTCATATAAGGTTACAATGATGATTCCTAATCTCGTTAGGGAATCTCAAAAGATATTTACAAAATATTCACAAAACTATATCATTCTATACAGAATAATATCTAGAATATTTATCCAATATTCTATCACACCCCCGCAGTTATAGCAGGAGGAGGACGTATACAGAAACCGGATCTGAATTCCAAAAATAGTTGTTGAGGTAGGTCTTTCGTGAAAATGTCTACAAACTGATAACGTGATAGAACGTGTAAGACTCGTACATTCCTCAACGCCACCTTTTCTCGGACGAAATGAATATCCGTTTCGACGTGCTTGGTGCATTGGTGATGTACGAGATTATGAGATAAATAAATTGCATGACATTATCACAATAAACAATAGTACCAAATATTCACAAAATCATATCCTTCTATACATAATAATATCTAAAATATTTATCATATATTCTATCACTGAGATAACAATCCGACAACCATGGATTCATTTTTCTTTATCAATGGCGAAAACCTCAGCTTCAAAACAATTAAACAACACTAGGTGAAAAATACAAATGGCCACCAATTCAAATCACCCATTTTGCACCGATTTGGAACCAGTCCTTATTTGAAGGATGCCAAAACCAAAAGATATCGAACCGATTCTTGCTATGAACTGGTGCGAAAAATGGCCCAAAAAAATAAAAATAAAAACTTTTAGCACCGGTTCTTACTGTGAACCGGTGCGAAAAATGGCCCAAAAAATTAAAAAAAAACTTTTAGCACCGGTTCTAGTTCAAAACCGGTGCCCAAAATACCCCAAAAGAGATAAAAAATTTTTTTTTTTTCTTTTACATTTTTTTCACTTAAATTGATATTGAAACACTAACATATATATATATAAAGTTACATATTTTCATTAAAAAAGACTGTAATACTACAATTTTCGTCCAAAAAAATAAAATATAAAACAAAATAAAATACAAGGTTACACAAGTATGTTCAAAAGTGAGGGCCCTCGACCTGGATATATCATACATAGCAAACATGAACAAAAAATAACAATTAGAATGACAGAACAACTCACAATTTTATCAAAAGAAAACAAAACAGTAGATTTGCTGAAGAAAAACATTTCTGTGTACTTACAATTATTGCAGGGGGAAGGCACACAAATAGAGCAATTATGGAAATGTAGGCATAGAGATTAGTACACCCTTTTTCAGTTGGTACACCCTTAATTATAATTCATGCGAAAACATAATTTGGGAGCGCAGTGTGCATAATTAATCTTGATCCCAAGTGCATGATATAAATTCAAAAGGAAGATTGCTCGCAATAACCTACATTGTCCTACATAATTGACCAAAATAATAATAACCTGCACTGTACTATAAATAGATTTATCACTGTCCCGGGAGGATTTTGCAGGTGTGGTATTCTTGTTCTTACTCCCATTATAGCCATTTCTAGATTAGACCTTTACCATCCCTCGACCATATTTCCATCACTTCCAACTAGGAAAACTTGTCTTTTCTATATGATCGAAGGGGAAGTTTGGTTCACCCACATCAAAAAATAAGTACGGGATTAGAATCAACAAGCTCATACTTGTATAATAGCCAAAAAAAAAAGGCATTTCAAAACCCATGCCATAAAGCCCCTCAAAACCTATAACCTAAAAAATCAAAGAGGATAGGTGGATTAGAGAAAAAGCAGCCATCTTTGGAATCAGGGTTAAAATAGTTCAAATTATATTTGACTAATTCATCCTCACACTTGGACCATCACTACCAATTTCCATTGTTGTAGTCGGCAGCCGGCACCACCATACCCATCATTATCACCCCCTATATTAAATTGGAATACATATTCCACCATCTGGAGTCATTTAACTCACCTAATACAATTACCAACACAGAGATTTCTTGGAATTGCAGGCTATGGGATTTAATTTTCATCCAACATCTAGAAGCAGGTATAGGTCATTGCCATCATTCCATTAATTACCTAAAACTGTACCTGCTACTAGTCATTGAACTAAGCAGGGGTTAGAGGAGGACACTAGATCAAGGTAATTCCAAACTCCAGCGGTCCAGCATATCGCTATTACTAGACTATATCCAAAACAAAACAATACTAAACATAACTCCATTTTTTCAAGAATAATATATTCTTAAGTCTCTCAGTAGTTAGAATAGATCCAAAAGACAACAATTTGGCATAGCATCTATGTTTCTTTTCAATTTCCCCCTTTTTAGCCAGGGGGTGGGGGGAGGGAGGAGTTTTGAGGTATACGTTAAAGTATAAGAGAAGTGAAAGGTCCGAAGAAAGTGGTAACAGAGCATACATGCATTTCAATGCAAGTAAACATCTGGCATAAATCAGTTTGGCATTCTGCATTTTACCTTGATGGTGACTTCGGAGGAAGGAACCTGTCGATATTACCATCAGATGGCTGGACATTTCTTGCTCGACACACCACAAGACCAAACTGAGAATAGCCAATAGTAGATGGCTGAAACCATCCCAGATCAACTCTCAAGCCATGGATGCCAATGACAGGGTTACCTAGGGTTTCAAGCCAGTTGACAATAGGTCCAAAGGTTGACTTCAGTTGTCCACGACGAACAAGACGCAATTGAGCATTGATACCAGCAACAAATCGATACCAAACTGTGGGTGGCATAGACTGCAACAGAGCGACAAAGAGCATATAGTACTCATTCAAAAGTTCACATTCTCACAAGTCTACACTGAATTCAAGCAAAAATAATATTTACCTGATTTATAAGGCTAGTCAAAACATTATCATTGTGAAGAGAGAATGGAGCCATATAGCTTCCATCGCCTCCAAATATCAATGTCAAAGGTAAACGCTGGTTTAGACAAGGAGGAAGGTCCGATCGTTTTTCATCTCCACCCAGGTAGAAGTCCAGGTATGCAAGCATCAAGTCTGAAGTAGCAGATAACTGGAACAGTAAACCAAGTCAAATCAGGCCAGATAACCTTAATCAAACTACTGATAAGTGAGTTGGTCTAGTCAGATAGCTGTATTATTATAAAAAGTCTTCCCAAGTGAGCACATTATTATAACACTTGTCATTAATAAAAAAAAATGAAACATCTACACGATTCATTCATAAATACATCTTAAAAATCTGGGGGAAAAACATTTAATTGTTTGTCAATTTCTGAATACTTTCATTTTTCCATCTCCAAATAAAAGATACCCAAATCGCCAAGCATACATGGAGGACAAACCCAAGCAGAGTCAAAAATTGCTATGGAAAATTGAAAGGAGGTTAAAAAAAAAAAAACCTTCAGCCCTTCATAAAGAGCACGAGAGTGACAGGAACGTAAACAGGAGTGATCATACTCTGAACGGACAAATTTATGTAGTCGCTGTAGCTTCTTTTTTCAACACCACTGCAGCCATGACCATGCCAGTGGATATGCTAGAACAGAGAGAATGCTGTGCACCGATCCTTCCCACCACTGATAAGAAGCAACTCCATTTATCTCATCAACAAAGCGGATAAATGCATCCTCATACCTGCAATTTGGATATTTCTCACAGATTAAAACAAAGTTGCAGCTTATGCATTCATGCTGATACACAAGCAGGGCATTTTTAGTCAGGCTCAATTCATCTTTTTTTGCCAATAAACATTTACAAAAGTATAGCATACCCACTTATCATCTTGCTATCTCTTCTAAACCCAACCAAAAATTTTGCATGCCAAGATAAGAACCAAAATCTTTAAGTCAAGAGAGCTCACTACTATTTAGTAACTTTACCCTTCCTGTGTTTAACAGAATGAAGATGATAGCCAAGAAGAGATACCTACCAATTACAACTGGAGCCAGAGAGTAATGGGGATAGACTGTCCGAGAACGAATTGAGAAGCAGCAGCATTGAAAAAGGGCTCCAGAGCTGCATGATAGCAAAGAGAATCACATATTAAGAATTAAAGACTATAAATACAAATGTAGTCAGTCAGGTGTCCACCCTAAAGATCGGCTGATCACAACAAAAAATATAGATCCAAACCGGTTGCACAGAAGTTTTTAAGACAATTATAAGGATGGTAGCATATTGCTTGCATAATGGAAATTAGAGTTAAAGTGTCACCTTTAATAGTGTGGGTGAAAGAAACCGCAACAGCAGCAAAAGAGACATTGCTGGTAACATGGCCTATAGCATGACATACTGCGACTGGAATGAGCAACTTCAGAAGGTTTGAGTCGATAGGCTACAAATATATGCAAAAATTCTCATGTTGTTAGAATGGTGAATATCTATCTGAAAGTTTCATGGTCAATATTAAGCAGAAATTCGCATGATTACTACATGCACCTTATGATGATCTAACTCTTATGCAAAATACTTCTTTTGCTAGTAACCTTAAACCAATTGAGACTAAAACACTGTGAATTGTAGCTCTTACTGATGAACAGTAAGCTAAGCCATCTCCTATACTGCACAAATCCCGTAGTAGAGATGCTAGCTTATCATCAGGAATTCAGGGATAATTGAGTTGATGAGTAATGTGAGTTAAGGAGTGTTAGAGATCTTACACAACTTATACTTTAAATTCTTGTATTATGATGCCGTGATATCTTTAAAATATATATTATATCGAACATCCAGGTGGTTTATACCTTATAGCAGTGTATAAACACCGAAGTTTCCAGCAGACAGATATTCAGTAAATGTTCCACAATCACAGGGTTGAAATTGTGTTGATTTTCTAAAAAACAGTTTGGTGTTTCCCCCCAGAATCCATGGTAGCGATAGCCATGTTGAAATTAAATACAAGGGGATAGTAAGCTGGAACGTACACGAAATATCTAGACAACTTAACAGGAACACCGTGAACCACTTGATCACGCTTCTTTCATGGTTTCTTATAGAGAATAGTCTGATGGTTGTCATAATATGTTTTATTGTAGCAGGCTGTAATACTCCCGGATATATCAAAATCACTTTTAGCAGCAGCATCATATTCATCACTATCATAATAATATGGTGTTTCTTCATCATCAACTTTTTTAATGAATATTACTCTGACACCAGCAATCATAGCACACGGCATAACAATGTAACGTACACACCAGCATATTATATCGAATATCCAGGTGGTTTATACACAGCTAACTTATACTTGAAAAAGCATCTGCATTGGAGTATTTTAATTTCATACACAAATTCATTGAATTTCACCAACAATTTTTCTTAATTTTTGATTCAAATGACAGTAAGCAATCATTAACAATCCATAAGATGACAGGAAGCAATCATCGCAATCAAAAGCACAGTAAACTATTCACATGCAAATCAAATCAAAATTCAACAGAACCCCATTTGATTCAATCAAAATTCGAAAAATCACAGATTTTTAGGGTTATTTGATTAAATTATCAAATTAGGGTCGAAAATTCAGAGGGAAATTTGATTCAAACATCAAAATAGTTGAGATTTCGAACCCTAAACTTACCGCATTGACAATTAAAATGAATCAGATAAAACATAAACCCTAGATTATGAAATGGATATGATGACTATGAAAAGAAACAACAAGTTACCTCAGAAGCTGCCTCTTCAATGGGGGATACACGGATTAGAAGGCGCCGTCCGCTTGAAGCAACAGCCAAACCCACTAAATCCACCAAAGACGCAATTGCGCCACCATGAAGAGTATTCGTAGTATTCTACAATACCATCCCCAAAACAATTTCGGAGATTCAGAGTCAAATTAGAAACCCTAATTACAAAACCCAGCAAAAATTATCATAAAAATTGAAGAAAGAGAAACGAACCAGGAGACGTTGAGGAACATTGAAGGAGCAGAGAATACGACCATGTTCGATTTGATCAATGCGAAGCCCCTTCAATGGAGAATTTCGAGTACGCTTCAATGGAGGAGAGAGAGAGGCAGATGAGAGAGGAGGAAAGATCGAGAAAATGAAAGAGAAAGAAAGAACATTGACCGGAATTTTTTTTATTTCACAATAGATTTGCACCGGTTTGAAGAGAACCGGTGCGATTAACTCATTTTTCGCATCGGTTTGATTAAAACCGGTGCGAAACTCTTTCCCTCAATTCGGCTTATTTTTTTCCTTACTAGAGCAAACACCATAATGCCCAACACCACCAATGCCACAACAAACCCCAACACCACCATTTTCATTTTAAAGATCATCCAATTTCTAAAATATTTTTGTACTTCTATAATTGCCCAAAATATATAAATAAAAAATACATAAAAATACCGAACAACCCATAATATAAGTACCGTTAAAACTCAACTAAGCTATAACCAAGTTATGTTAATTAACCAAAAAGCAATTAAACTATACAGTAATCCAAAACAACAAAAGACCCTAAAAACATGTACCATATACGACTTATTTAACAAGTTAAAATTGAGTGAAGTTGAGATTGGATAAAGTAAACAACCTCTAAAGTAAACAACTCTCAAAGTTGGGATTATTTCAGAGTAATTCATAATTGGGATTAATAAAAGAAAATAGAGCAAAGTTGAGATTATTAACGTCAACTTTTCCTATTGACTATTTAGAACTAGTAATCAAAGTTTAGTACAAACGTAATTATAACCAAAATCATAATACCATCCAGACACTTTTTAATACTTCGTATCAATTAAAACCCAAATTAATAAATTATACATATATAATTTGTCACAGTGGTAATGAGATATGCCTTGTCCACTTGGTCACCTTGTCCGCACTACACCAAACAAATACTGTACCTTACTAATCTCGTACTTCGTAATAGTTATCACGTGTACTTTGTATGATCGTTAAAAGGAGCAAATGGCAAGATTATTAGATTAGTTCATAAATTAGGTTAAGTTTAGGGCTACTTCATATTTAAATTCAACTTTAAAACTAATTTACGGATTAAACTTTAATAAGACTACTAGATTAGTCTCGTGTAATGCAAACAATTTTTTTTTTTACTTATTTGTGTGTAATAAATCTAATCTAGGTAAAACATAATAAATTGTGAGTCTTCTCATTAGATAAATTGAAATAAAAAAAAACAAAGACATAATGAGAAGACTAGGTTTGATATTGTAAATATATAGTAGAAGCGAAAATTAGTGTATTTTATACCTATCTATCAAGTGAAACTATAATAGGAATCTTTACTATATATTAAAAGGCGTTCCTTTTAAAAGAGCGGTGTCACGTGACATCTTCAAACTATTTGCACAATGCCACATCACTATCCAAAGGAATATGCGGCACGTAAGTTTGCCACTTCATTTAACAAAATAAATTATGCTTTGAGCGAGAATCGAACCTATAACCTCCAAAATAAGGTCATACATTTACCATCTCAACCAACTTTGATTAATGTCTTAAATTTCACATAATTAACATAATATATTCCTTTAATATATTAAGTAAATTAGAGGTTATATTTTTTATTTATTTTTCACAAGATTAGAAAATAAATACATTTGAGGTAAAAAAAATAAGAATGAAAAATACTCGAGACAGTGCCGAACAACACACTAACTATACAAACAGCCGAACATAATTATCAAATTAAAGAAGTACAACTAGCAACTCATGGCATCGCCCCGGCCAAAAACTAGTTGAATACTAGCATAGTAGTGCCTAGACCTGGCAAATGGGTCATTCAGGTCGGGTCTGGGTCGGGTCACTTTCGGGTCAGCTAACATTTGGGTCGGGTATGGGTCGGGTCGGGTCGATTCGAGTTTCGGGTCAGGTATCGTGTCAAGTTTGGGTCGGGTCAATTTCAGGTCAAGTATGTTCGGGTCATATTCGGGTCAGGTCAAAATCTGGTCGGGTCATGTTCGGGTTGTTTCATTTGTGAATCAAGCTCAAATGAATAATTTTTTACGGAGTATATATTTTGTTATTGTTATAATAAAAACTATCAATTAAGTTTATGAGCTTAGCTACGGTTGAAGATGAACAATTTGAGTTACTTTTGGTACAAGACATTTTAAGTTCAATTATAAGGTAATTTTAGTTTGGGACATTTCGGGTATCGGGTTTGTTCGGGTCAATTTGGGTATCGGGTCTGTTCGGGTCAAACACTTCGGGTCGGGTCATTTTGGGTGTCGGGTCAGGATCGGTTCACTTCCATTTTCGGGTCGGGTATGGGTCGGGTCGAGTCAGTTTCGAGTTTCGGGTCAATGTTTTTGGTCAATTTCGGGTCATTCGGGTTGGGTCATCGGGTCTGGGTCAGAATTGTCAGGTCTAGTAGTGCCCGTGCAATGCACGGTTTATAAATTAAATTACTAATCCCGTAGGAAAAAAACAAATATAATTCAATTAGTAATAAATGCCTCATTTACTAATGGTCAGTACAAAAATAAAGGAACGTAATTTGAATAGTATTTTAAGTTATTTGTATTTTTTTATAAATTCATTTTATTAATTAAAAAATAAATGAATATTGCTCAACATAACTATGTAAGAGAAGCTGACTCATTCATTTCCTATCTCTCGTAGAGAAAAAAACCTAAAATTTTCTTATCATACCTTCCGCTTCAGTAACTACAATCTAATACGAATACATGTTTTACCTGTCGTATTCACAAAAATCTTTTATTATTATTATTATTATTATAATAAATTTAGCATAAATATTCCTTGGAAAATATTTTTTAACTTTTAGATGTATATTTTTTTTATCTAAGTTAATTTAATTTTACGTTAGGTTTGTATAGTAAAAATCTGGAAACTCTATATTTATTTAATATTACATTTGATATCTAAAATTACATAGAATGCAAAATATTAATTACAGAAACAAAAAGTATATGAATATATGATATGATTTGGTTAATATTTTGTGTATAACTTATAGTAGGTAATTAATGTCATTGGCTAAAAAAAGGAAAGAAAAAAAAAAGGAAAAACAGGAAAGGGGATTTTGGAGGGGAAAACAACACCAGGAAATGACACGTGTCATTCCTAGTGTCTGTTTTATAATAATAATAATAATAATAATAATTGTATTATATATATATATATATTGATTGATTGATATTGATTATATTGTGATTTTATTTTATAGGGCGATTGATTTATGAAATTCTTTGATTGGGAGATTAATGAAATTAATTAATAACTTAGAATCCATCAAGTGAATCTATAATTGGAAGATCGTGATTTGGTTTTAAAGGTTGATTGATTTGTTACATTCAGTGATTGGGGATTGATGAAATTATTTAATAATAACTTAGGAAGTTAATTGATTGTAATAGAAAGATGAAGTAATTTATGATATAATCTTATGAGGTCAATGGATTGAATTAATTAAAGATATAATTAAACTAATTAAAGATATAATTGATTGTTAATTAATGAATAAACGATTTTTTTTATTGAATCAATTTTAAAATATGGAATAATTTTTTTTTAACCTTTTTAGTATAAGTCAAAGGGGTATTGGAGTCTTTTTAGAGGGACACCACAACCCCCACTTGGCTTATACAATACTCACTTAGTCCCTGAATAACTAACACAGTTCTCATTTTCATTCGTCCCTGAATAACTAACATATTACTAAATATAGCATGAGATCACTAACTAAAAACTATTTTCCTCTGCTCTTTTTATTTTTGGGAAACAATTTTTAGACACATTAAAAAAATCAAAAAGAATCTTTTTACATTAAACAAATGCATTAAATGTACTTACTTAAAGTTTTCTTAAACTATGTGCTCATCCCAATGTCCCAAATATTCTAGGACGTAGGGAGTAAGCTGTAAAGATGAGATTAATTACTTTCTACTCGTACTATATATCTCCTAAAACTCTGCACATGAAGAAATGAAGGAGTAAAGCACAAATACAGTCCCTAAACTATTCTGAGTTGCTCGTTTTTATTTACGTGTGTGAAATTCTAGCTTTTTTTCTATCTACTCTTTACTCCATTTTGGTGGTTGAATTTGGTGCTTATTTTGACTGATTGATCTTCTGTTCGAGTTTTGACAGGCACTTGCTCTGCACCTACAAGTCCAGAGGTAAACATTAGTATGTTTGTCCATATAAATTTAATAAATTGAGAGATAAAATCATTGTCCATTAGAGACAAATGGAGTAGATGTCATTGTGCGTTATTGTACATTAATAACCTGGATACACCATTGATATCAAGCTTGATGATTTTTTGCTTCACTAATGTAAATGTATAGCATACGGGTCACTGATAAGAGTTGTGATGATTCTTACTACATTGGCCTTTTGAAGAAATTGTTGGATTATTTTTAAAAAAAAATTCAATTAAGTGGTCCATTTATCCCGGTAATTAGTTTCCCATGATCAAGGAAACTGATTACCACTAATCCAACCACTAACCCACCTTTTTAGAACCACCACAACCAACTCACGTAATGAGGGGTTTTTGATGGCAAAACTCCCTATATATGCAGACTGAAATTGTGAGTGTAATTCAAGAAAAGGTCACTGCATCCAACTCTCAAAAAACAAACATTATCTAAGTGAGAGTGAGGGTTCAGCACCAAATTTCAGAAAAGAGTTCAAATACGGTTTCGGCGCCGCAACGAGGTTGTTCATCTTCATCTTCCTCGTACTTCCTGCAATGGCTGGAGGTAAATTTTACACTTTAACGTTTCCGCACTCTTGAATTATATGTTGTAATTCAAGCTATGAGTATGTTATTGTTTATGCGTGTCTAACATTTGGTATCACAGCCATGTTTCCTCTGCCTTGCTTAATTAGAATCTTCAACTTGTTTTGCTTATTGATGGAGATGGTGCGGCAATCAATTGTGTTTGAGCAATTGTTTCATATATGGTTTTATTACTGCTATCTTCATCGATTTTGAGCAATTGTGTTTATAATGTTGTTTGTTTATTCATTTTGCATGCAGTAATCATTGATTTTGAGCATTATGTTTATGTGCTGCTTGTTT